TGCCTGTAATCCTAGTTACTCAGGAAGCTGAGGCAGGAGAATTGCCTGAACCCAGGAGGCGGAAGTTGCGGTGAGCCGAGATCGCGCCATTGCACTCCAGCCTGGGTAACAAGCGAAACTCCGTCCCAAAAAAAAAAAAAAAAAGAAATTGAAACTCAGTAGCTATTAAACAGTAACTCCCATTTCTCTCCTCCCCCAGTCCCTAGAAACCACCATTCTACTTTCTGCCTCTACGTATTTGATTATTCTAGTTACATCAGTTAAGTGTAATTGTACAATATCTGTCCTTTTGTGTCTCGTTCATTTTTCGCATGATGTTTTCAAAGTGCATCCATGTTGTAATGTGTATCCAAATTTTATTCCTTTTTATGACTGAATAATATTCCATTGTGTATATATACCACATTTTGTTTATCCATTCACCTATTGATGGCCACTTGGGTTGTTTCTACATGTTCGCTGTTGTGAATAATGCTGCTATGAACATAGGTGTACAAATATCTTTCTAGTCCCTGTTTTCAATTACTTTGGGCACATAACTAGAAGTGGGATTGCTGCATTGTATGGTAATTCTATGTTTAATTTTTTGAGGAACTGTTGTACTGTTTTCTATAGCAGCTGTTTCATTTTACATTCTTACCAGCAATGCATAAGGGTTCCAGTCTATCCACATCCCATAATGCTTGTTGCTATTTTCTATTTTTCTGATAATAGCCACCCTAAAGAATGTGAAGTGGTATCTCATTGTGGTTTTGATTTGCATTTCCCTAATGACTAATGATGTTGAGTATCTTTTAATATGCTTATTAGCCATATGTATATCTTCTCTGGAGGAATATCTATTCAAGCCCTTGGCTCATTTTTTTTATTGCATTTTAGGTTTTGGGGTACATGTGAAGAACATACAAGATTGTTACATAGGTACACACATGGCAGTGTGATTTGCTGCCTTCCTCCCCATCACCTATATCTGGCATTTCTGCCCATGCTCTCTCTCTCCAAATGCCCACCCCGCACCCATGGCTCATTTTTGAATCAAGCTGCTTTGTTGTTGAGTTGTAGGCGTTCTTCACATCTTCTGGATATTAATTCCTTATCAGGTATATAATTTGCGAATATTTTCTTCTGGTCTGTAGGTCGTCTTTTCACTTTTTTTTTTTTTATCATATCCTCTGATGTACAAAAGTAGTTTTGATGCAGTCCAATTTGTCTATTTTTCTTTTGTTCCTTATGCTTTTGGTGTTCTATCCAGAAAATCATTTTCTTTTTCTTTTTTTGAGACAGAATCTTGCTCTGTCACCAGGCTGGAGTACAATGGCACAATCTTGGCTTACTGCAACCTCCATCTCCCTTCTGCCTAAGCCTCCCAAGTAGCTGAGGCTACAGGGATGCGCCACCATGTCCAGCTAATTTTTGTATTTTTAGTAGAGATGGGGTTTCACCATGTTGGCCATGATGGTCTTGATCTCTTGACCCGATGATCCACCTGTCTCGGCCTCCCAAAGTGCTGGGATTACAGGCATGAGCCACTGCACCCAGGCCAGGAAATCATTTTCAAATCCAGTGTCATGGAGATTTTTCCCGTATGTTTTCTTCTAAGAGTTTTCTAGTTTTAGCTCTTAAATTTAGGTATCTGATCAATTTTGAGTTAATTTTTATGTACGTTGTTAGGTAAAGGTCCAACTTCATTCTTTTGCATATGCATATTCAGTTTTCCCAACACCATTTGTTGAAAAAACTGCTCTTTCAACCATTGAATGGTACCCTTGGCACTCTTGTCAAAAATCAAATGACCATATATATGAGGATTTTTGTTTCTGGGATCCACATCCTATTTTGTTGATTTGTTTAACTGTCCTTATACCAGTACTGTTTTGATTACTGTAGCTTTGTAATATGTTTTTTTTTCTTTTTTTCTGAAATGGAGTCTCCCTTTGTCACCCAGGCTGGAGTGCAGGGGCACAATCTTGGCTCACTGCAACCTCCGCCTCCTGGGTTCAAACTATTCTCCTGCCTCTGCCTTCTGTGTAGCTGGGATTACAGGCATGCACCACCATGCCCGGCTAATTTTTGTATTTTTAGTAGAGACAGGATTTCACCAGGTTGGTCAGGCTGGTCTCAAACCCCTGACCTCATGGCCTGCCCACCTCGGCCTTCCAAAGTGCTGGGATTACAGGTATGAGACACTGCACCCGGCCTGGTAATAAGTTTAAAATCAAAAAGTGTGAGTCATCCAACTTTGTTGTTCTTTTTCAAGGTTGTTTTTGGCTATTCTTGGTCCATTTAAAGATATTTTATGAATTTTTTTTCTATTAAAAAATAACATTGGAATTTTGATAGGATTGCAGTGAATCGATAAATCACTTTATGTAATAGTATCACCTTGACAATATTAAGTCATTTAATCTATGAACACAGGATGCATTTCCATTTATTTAGGTCATCTTCAGTTTCTTTCAGCAATGTTTTTTGAGAGAAAGTGTCTTGCTCTGTTGCTCAGGCTGGAGTGCAGTGGCACAATCATAGCTCACTGTAGCCTTGAACTCCTGGGCTCAAGCAATCCTCCCACTTCAGCCACCAAGTCTAGCTAATTTTTTATTTCTTGAAGAAATGATGTCTCACTCTGTTGCCCAGCCTGGTCTCAAACTCCTGGCCTCAAGCAATCTTCCTGCCTCTGCCTTCCAAAACTGGGGTTGCAGGCATGAGCCACCATGCCCAGCCTCTTTCAATGATGTTTTGTAGTTTTCAGTGTATAAGACTGTCACCTCCTTGGTTTAATTTATTCCTAGATATTTTATCCTTTTCATGCTATTTTAAATGGAATTTTTTTTTTTAGTTTCCTTTCATATTTTTCATTGTTAGTTTACCAAAATATAATTTATTTATTTATTTATTTATTTATTTTTTGAGACAAAGTCTCGCTCTGTCGGCTAGGCTAGAGTGCAGTGGTGTGATCTCGGCTCACTACAACTTCTGCCTCCCGGATTCAAGCAATTCGCTTGCCTCAGCCTTCCAAATAGCTGAGATTACAGGAACACACTACCACACCCAGCATGTAATTGATTTTTGTGTGTTGATTTTGTATCCTGCATCTTTGCTGAATTTGTTAGGTCTAGCAGTTATGTGTGAGTGTGTGGAATCTTTTGGGCTTTCTGCATATAAGATCATATCATCTGTGAAGAGAGGTTGTTTTATTTCTTTCTGTCTAATTTGGATCCTTTTCTTTTCCTCTTAATTTTTCTGGCTAGAACTTCCTGTACTATGATGAATAGAAGTAGTGAAAGCAGGCATCTTTGTCTTGTTCCTGATCTTATGGGAAAAGTTTTTCAGTTCAGCAGGTCCTCAAATAACATAATTGCATTATAACATTTATGAGGAAAAAAAAAAAATTGATTCCCAGCTGGGGCAACTGCCTGTGTGGAGTTTGCACATTCTCCCCATGTCTGCATAGGCTTTCTCTGGGTACTCCAGTTTTCTCCCACAGATGTATGTGTTGGGTTGATTGGTGTGACTAAATGGTCCCAGTGTGAGTAAATGTTGGGGTGTGTGTGTGTGTGTGTGTGTGTGTGTGTGCGTGCTCCCTGAGATGGAATGATGTCCTGTCCAGGGCTGTCCACCTTGTGTCCCAGGCTTCCAGGATAGGCTCTGGCCATCTGCAACCCTAGACTGGAATAAGGAGATTGGAAAATGAATGAATACAAATTATCATCAAATAAAAATATATAATGTAGATGATAATCATACAACTGCACAACAATAAGTGATGGGGTATGAAAGTGTTCAGCCAGCCCACCATATTTGTGATTGTTTTTTAATTCATGGTAGGAGAAGGTGCTCCTTAAAAGTTTCTATTTGCAAACATCTATTCCTTGATTTAATCCACCACCACTACAATCATTGTCATTCAATCATTCACCAAAAATTGGGTAATCTTACTTGTTTTTATTAACCTTTCTTAAATGTATGTATAGCTCACATTTATTTCAGTGTTCAATATTAGAAGTGTTTGGGATCTTTATTTAGAAGTTTGGTGATTATTTGTGACCAGAAATATGCCATAGGAACTTAACTCTTGTTTATGTCAATTAGCCTATGATGAAATTGATTTTATTATTCCTCGTCTCAGTTAGTTTCCAAGAACCTATTGATGTGGTTGAGGACTTTTATTTGGTTTTAAGGTAAAAGTGTGTCAAAAAATTGAGTTTCATACAGATAAGTAGCTTCAAATACTAATAGATTTGTTTTTAACATTTTGATTATCTAATCTTTTTTTTTTTTAGTTTTACTAATGTTCAGAAAGGGAGTGATAGTAAATCTGTGTTTCAAAGCTGAGTTGCTCACATTCCTAATTAATGAGTAATCACTCTGGAGAAATAAACAAATTTTCTCAGCTTTTTAAAACATTTTGGCTGGGCGCGGTGGCTCACACCCGTAATCCCAGCACTTTGAGAGGCCAAGGTGGACAGATCACCTGAGGTTGGGAGTTCGAGGCCAGCCTGACCAACATGGAGAAACCCCGTCTCTACTAAAAATACAAAAAGTAGCCAGACATGGTGGTGGGCACCTGTAATCCCAGCTACTCAGGAAGCTGAGGCAGGAGAATCGCTGAAACCTCGGAGGCAGAAGTTGCAGTGAGCCGAGATCGCGCCATTGCACTCCAGCCTGAGCAACAAGAGTGAAACTCGGTCTCCCAAAAACAAAAAACAAAAAACAAAAAAAACCCCACACATTTTATTGTTTGAAAAAAATAAGTGTATATTATAGCATCATATATAAGTTGTTCAGTGATGTTATTTTTTAAAAAGATCAGACAACTCAAAGGCTAGTACAGCTGAACTATGTCTGCCTCCCAAATTCCCACGTTGAAGCCATACCTCCAATGTGACTATATTTGAAGAAATCCCTCCTGTAAGGAGGAAGTTAAGGTTAAATGAGGCCATAAGGGTAGGATCTCATCTGATAGGAAGGATTAGTATCCTTGCAAGAAGAGACACCATAACTGGTGTCCTTTAAGAAGAGATACCAGAGAGCTGCCCACGCCCCTCCATGTGAGGACACAGTGAGAAGGCAGCGTCTGCAAACCAAGGAGAGAGCCTTTACCAGACACCAAGTCTGCTGGCACCTTGATCTTAGACTTCCAGTCCCCAGAACTGTGAGAAAATTAATTTCTGCTGTGTAAGCCACGCAGTCTATGGTATTTTGTTATGGCAGCTTGGACAGACTAATACAGAGGTCTTCTTTTCAACTCACAGTTTCAGCACAGAAAGATTCATTTTATTTTGCATGTTGAGTCCGAAACTTCTTTTGGTTCATCATTAACATTTTACCCGAAGTTGTGAGTATGGCAGTGTTGTGACTGCGTTATCAAATTGAGCCATCTAATTTAAAGTATCGGTAAGATTTCCACATTGATAAACTTCAGTATAAAAGAATAAATTTTAATACAACTGCTTACATCCCTGCAAATAATTCAGAAAGATCTGCAGCTTAAAGGCTTCATCCTAATAAAACTGATAGTCTGTATCAATCTGTATATTACCCAGTATTATACTTTTTAAAATGTAAATGTTAATTTTGAAAACTTCTTGTGTAATTTTGGCTGAGCACAGTGGTAGTACTGACTTTGGGAGGCTAAGGCAGGCAGATCACTTGAGGTCAGGTGTTCAAGATCAGCCTGGCCAACATGGTGAAACCTCATCTCTACTAAAAACACACAGATTAGTGGAGCATGATGGCACGTGCCTGTAATTCCAGCTACCTGGGAGGCTGAGGCAGAGAATTTCTTGAACCCAGGAGGCAGAGGTTGCAGTGAGCTGAGATCACGCCACTGCACTCCAATCTGGGCAATAGAGCGAGACTTCGTCTCAAAAAAAAAAAAAGAATGCGCCGGGCGCGGTGGCTCACGCCTGTAATCCCAGTACTTTGGGAGGCCGAGGCGGGTGGATCACGAGGTCAAGAGATCGAGACCATCCTGGTCAACATGGTGAAACCCGGTCTCTACTAAAAATACAAAAAATTAGCTGGGCATGGTGGTGCGTGCCTGTAATCCCAGCTACTCAGAAGGCTGAGGCAGGAGAATTGCCTGAACCCAGGACGCGGAGGTTGCGGTGAGCCGAGATTGCGCCATTGCACTCCAGCCTGGGTAACGAGAGTGAAACTCCGTCTCAAAAAAAAAAAAAAAAGAACGCATTGCCAGTGTGATTTTGTTTATTCTTTCATTGTTTTACAGATGAAGGTAAAGTAGCAACCAGTTCTTTAAAGTTCCATTTTACTTATCTTCTAGAGAAAAAATAGTTACTCCACCTGATTTAAAATTTAAAAAATAATAATTCTTATTAGAGAGGGAGGTATAATACTTGTTACTGGTTATTTCATGTTTTGAAGGACGTAATAAGCAGATTCTGGAAGTTCTTTGATAATACAAGAAGGGTTTTGTTGTTTTTGTTGAATTTTAAAGTTAGGCTGAAGTGAGACTAACACACAATGTTATTAAGCCCATTCTCTAAAGTAGATCTACCAAGCCAGGCACAGTAGCACATGCCTGTAATCTCACTTGAGCCCAGGAGTTCAAGGCCATAAGTGCACTATGATTGTGCCTGTTAGTAACCACTAAACTCCAGCCTGGACAACAGAGTAAGACACCATTTCAAACAGGATGGATGGATGGATGGATGGATGGATGGATAGATAGATATAAGATACATAGATGTACCAGAAATTGAATGATACCTCTTAGGCTTCTGAAATCTCTTGCTCTTGTAGTTCTGTTAGAAACAAAACTAAATGTCTAAATTTATCCACTATGAATCAAAATAAAACTACCTTAGGTCAAAGATGTCAATTTAATCAACCATACTCAAATTTGGTTGTTTTGGTGGGTTAAAGATGGAAGTATATAAAAGCAAATATAAATAAGGTTGAAAACTTAATCTTTTCCAGTTTTATTTTGCTTGGCATAGCCTCCTCTTGATTCCCACTGCCACCGCCTGACCCTAATTTAGAACCTGCATTAGACACCTTGGAGAGGTTGTCAAAAAGACAGATTCCTTGATCCCATCTCAAACCTACTGGACAACCAGAGCCAGCAGGCAAGGGGCTGGGAATTAATTTTAAGAAGCATTTCAGATGATTCTTATGATCACTCAAGTTTGGGAAACATTGAGTAACATGTTTTCTTTGCTTCAGTCCTTGCTCTTCATAAGCGGTTTCAACCCTGCTTGCATATTAGGATCAGCCAGGGTGCTTTGAAAAAATACTGTTGCCCAGGCCCCAACCCAGACCAATTTAATCAGAATCTTTTGGGTTGGGACCCAGACATTTTAAATGCTCTGCAGGTGGTTCTCATACACGTTGAAGCCTGAGAACTACTGCAAGACTGTTTGTAAATGTAATTCCCTGAAGCACAGTCCTGGGCTTGTCACTTCTGCTGAGGACATCAATGGTTCTCTATTGCCTACTAATGAAATAGGAGTTTATGACTCCATCAAGGCCACTCATGACCCAACACCAGCTTTTCCAACCACTACTCTCCTACTTAGAGACTACACTCTGGCCTCACAGAAATACTCACTTTCCGCAAAGTTTTTCTTGTGCTTTCCCCTTTCATACCTCTGTTTTTGCTTTCCCACCATGTAGGACTTTCCCCATGTGTATCTGTCACTGTCCTGCGCATCCTCAAATAGACCCAACTCAAGTAATACATCTTCTGAAAGTCCTTTAAATTCCCACTTCCTCCTCTCCTTGCCCTCCCCCACCTCCATTCAAAAGCGATCTCTTATGGAACTTGTCCTATCATGTCTTATATTTAGTTATTGGCAAATACAAAGTAATCTCTTTCATAAAATGCCATATGGAATTAAGAATAAGTGAACTTGGGCCGGGCGCGGTGGCTCAAGCCTGTAATCCCAACACTTTGGGAGGCCAAGGCGGGTGGATCACGAGGTCAAGAGATCGAGACCATCCTGGTCAACATGGTGAAACCCCGTCTCTACTAAAAACACAAAAAATTAGCTGGGCATGGTGGCACGTGCCTGTAATCCCAGCGACTCAGGAGGTTGAGGCAGGAGAATTGCCTGAACCCGGGAGGCGGAGGTTGCGGTGAGCCGAGATCGCGCCATTGCACTCCAGCCTGGGTAACAAGAGCGAAACTCTGTCTCAAAAAAAAAAAAAAAAAAAAGAATAAGTGAACTTTTATTTTTCCTACTTTCCCCATCTAGAGTGTAAATTTGTAATATCCACTGTTTACCTCTGTGTGAGGCACTAAAGAGAAAGATTTTAGAGTCAAATGGCCCCAGGTTCAGGTGCCTTTTTTATTGGATATGTCTGTGTGACCATGGTCAGGTGAATTTTTCCCAGCTTTAGTTTTCTCATCTATAAAATGGAGAATATACGACTTCAGTGTTGTGAAGACTAGATTTGATTACCAACTGAAGCATTCAGTAATCCTGGTATGTAATAACTGCTCTGTCAAAGCCTGTTGCTTTCATCATTGTGATAATGATCATTGTTAGCTCCCTTGAGGGCAGAGATTGCATATTTTATCTTTGGATTCCCATTCTGAACCTTGCTTATTGTAGGTGCTTGATAAATACTGGGTGCATAAAGTAAGGAATGCTTGCTGGGCCATGCCCACTTATATAGGCCACTACCAATCAGTTCAGCCTGTCTTGGAAGGAACACATCAAATTTCAATTTAACTATCAGATAAAGAAAGAAAATAGGATTTCCACTAAAAATTTTAAAACCTGTATTAAAAAGGCCAAAACCCCAGTTAAACCGTAAGACAGCTGCTCTCTTTCTGCTGCCAGGAAATAGAGAAAACCCTCCAAGAACTATTTGCTATTTGTTTGTTCATCTTATAATAAACATGCCGTGACTTGGGGAGAGCACACACTTCCCTGCAGGCAAGCTTGGGTTTGGGAAGTTGCATGTAGCAGCAGTGAGGAAGAAATCCCCCACTCTGTGGGAGATGTTCCTTCAGGGACTCCAGTAAGCCCATTTGCAGTTTTGCGGAGTTATTTACTAAGATGAAGGGAGTGGGTGTGGCTGGTCTGAGACTTCTCCTGGGAAGTCACTTCAAGAATCGCCTTAATTTCCTTGCCCTTCATCTTTGTTCTCTGGCTTTGGTGCAAGGGTGCAGTCAGTCGCACCCAGTTGGCTGCTGTTCCCAGCACACTGAATTCTTTGAAGCTGGCTGTTGCAGCCAAGGATTCCCTGTTCTGTTCTTTTCCCCTTGCCCTGATTTGAAAAACAGTGTGGAAATTCTCATCTGGCATGACCAGAAGAAGCTTAGTAGGTTGCAAGCTATTTTTCTAGATACACAAGACCAAAAAGAACCTTTAGAGCTTTAGATTACCATTTCTCAAAAACTCAATATGATGGATTTTACATGGACAAATTATATAACGTAGGCTCTACCATTGCCTCTATCATTTAAACAAAAAGGCCAACAAATTGAGATGAAACTGATATAGGAAAGTAATTATCAGCTTTGTCCTTGAAGAAGGAATGTGAGGATGTATTAGCTAACTGAAACCTCGGGAAAGATGTATAACAAAACATATAAGGATTAATGAGCAGTCCACAAAAGTGTTTAACAAGTGACCAATATCTTTTAAAATATATGGATGTATTCCAGCTCTCTCTTAATTAGCAAATACACACATATGTGTGTATACACACACACACAAACACACACATATGGATGAATAAATGAATTTATGTTATAATAGGTGTGATGACAAAAGATTCATAATCTGAAAAATATGTAATTCCAGTGATCAGAGCCTTATGTATCATGCTAATCAGCCAATAATTCCTTGAAAAGACATTTCTACTTTTGAAGTAAAATTAAATTCAGGAGGCAATGATGAGCATATGTGTGATAAAATCCTAGGCGGATGCTGAATATTTATATTTATTGTAAGACCAGCATGTCTTACAATAAAGAATACTATTTATATAAAATTATGTATCTTTATGTCTTTATATGTTTACATGCGTACAAAAATACTTGCTAAGAGGTTTTCTGAAATGTTGTGAATGATTTTCTCTTAGTGTTGGGACCACTTTTTCCTTCACATTTCTTTATATTGAGTTTTTTTATAATGAGCGTATAACATTTTTATAATCATAGTAAAAATAAAGCTATTTTTAATAGCTTTAATAAAGGAAAATTTTGCTTGAGCATCTGCTATGTGTCTAAAGTGGTACTAGAAATTATGAGATATAGGAAAGAAGGCTGTGGCCTGGCTACCAAGATGCTTACTATCTAGCTGGGAAGACAACTAAGGAGTGGGATCCTATAGAATGTAATCAGATGTTGGGATGTAC